TATATATATATATTTTTATTTATTATATGTATGTACAATAAATATAATAATTTAAACAATTTATAGGTGATACACAAAATTTAGTCACAAAATGTAAGCAATGTCTTGGAGCATTACAAGCAACAGATCAAGTTATACCACGACAAGAAATAATTGAATATTGCACTGTTTTTCTTTTAAATATGACTGAATGGGAATATTTAACAAGTTTAGAAAAACGTTGGAGTTATTCAGAATTTGCAGCAGCTGTTAGTAGCGTGTGTCAAGATATTGTTAAATATAAAGGTGGAAGGAAATTTCCAAGAGAAGCATGGGATATGGGTTAGTTTTTGGGTTATAATGTTATATAAAAATGCATTAGAAAATAACATTAAATCATATTTTTAGTGTTGGCAGCTTTTGGACCAAGTAGAGATCAACCACAAAAACGAAGTAACAGTGGCAATAGTGGAACAAGTACTGGTAGTGCTTCGCGAGATGTTATTGCTAGTATTGCAGGTACACTTAATAGATTACGTGAACCTATGGTTCTTACTGTTGTTATTTCATTATTAGCACGTCTGCGAAATGTTTTACGTGATGAATCTAGTCTTGAATTACACACACAATATCTTTCTCTTTGGCCTGCTGGTGTACCAAAGTAAGTTTTCACATAGCACAAAATGTATAGTGTTTTTTACAACAATATAATAGTTTAAAAACCTGTTGTAGTGCTAATTCTTATAATATCCGAAGTATTGGAGAATTATTGTTTCAATTATTGACACAAGCTTTGAAATACTATCCAAGTAATGTTCCTTGGTTGAGATTGATGGGAGATCTTAATTTTGGTATATATAAAAGATAAGGTTATATTTCAGAAAGTAATATAATATAATATTCAGAAAGTAATATAATATGTTTAGTTTTAGGATACTATGAGAGTGCAATAAAATACTATTTAGAAGCTATAATGGTAGCTAGTGATCTCTTCAGTCAACCAATACCGAGGTCACAGATCGACGATCTCGTGTATAGACGCATGATTAAATGTTGTGCTCATTTACAATGTTATACTCAAGCTGCTGTACTGTGCCAATTTTTAGAGGAAGTAGATTATACTTTAGCTTTTAAAATGGCAGCTAGCGATCAAAAAAGTTGTGCACCAGCAGATGCTATGGATGCATATTACTATTGTATTTGGGATACTACAATACTAGAGTATCTCATTCATTTACATACAAAGCGCGGTGAACATCATAGAAAACAATTAGCGGTTAGTAATTATATATAATTCATTTAAAATTGTATATATATTTACATTTAATTATATTTTAAGATCAAGGTAATTGGCTCGTTAGAATTGAATTCCAATAATAACGAAGAAATACAAAGAGAAGCAGCAAACATTCGGAAAGCAAAGTTCTTAAGAGCATTGGCAAAACAGTATGTTTATTAATAAAAATGTATATAATAATAATTTTATATAACCATATAGTAATTTTATACTATTTAAATACAACGATTTTTATATTTATATTTATAATTGATAATTAAAACAATCAAATCTCCCTCTTTTGCCGCGTTTAACTCGTACCAATCACAGCTTTTTGTTTTTTACTCTAATCGATCTAATGAAGCACGGAATTAATAAAATAATTTTATTATATATGTTATTTTGTTAAATTCATGCTATGAAAAAATAATTTTTAAAATATAAGTGATCATTTGTTTACTAGAATGAAAATTTTTTAACATTTTGTAATGTATCGTCTTTTTCATGTGAGTCATCTACGATCAGCCCTTATCGTTGAATACATTGTCGTTGCGTAGTGCGATGAGTGTATGTTATTGCTGTACGTAAACGTATATATAAATTATGTTTATACGTTGAAAACAAAGTGTGCAAAAAAAGTTAATTTTCTATGAGAAATTATAATAAATAGAGAAATTTGATAAATTATAGGTAATATGCGTTAACATTGTTAAATCACTGTTCTCATAGAACTGCCTTCGTAAACAAGGCGCCATGTTCTTGCAACGCCATAATACTGTTATACGACGTTTCCTTCTTTCTATGATAAATATTTATAATTAAAACTGCATGTGAAATACGAATGGGATAAGTTACGTTTTACGTATTTTTGTGCATCAGAATTTCCAGCTGTTCGATTTTGGTGAGTACGTGAAAAAGTACGTGAGTACTTGAGGGACTCTCAGTACTATTACTTATTACAAATACCCTGATTCTATCAAAAAGGAGTGAAAAAGATAGAGATTGAAAGACAGAGAAAAATCGTCGTGAAAGAAAAAAAGAGAAAGAAATATTATGTACGCTACGAGTAGTTATACTGTATTACAAGAAAATTTACTCAGATATTTATCGTGTTCGTAGAATTGTTGTCAGAATACGATAAACTGAAGGTGAAAATCGATAAATTCATAGATATTTTTATTTAATTGTGATGGCGAGAGGTTGGCGTCAAGAATGTAGCAGCAAGAGTGGGAGATTGTAGTAAAAACAATGCTGGATCGTTAAGCGAGTTCTATATATGTATGTAATTTACTATTAGTTATTTTTCATTTTTATAATATATTTCTTTTACATTTATAATATTTAATATTTTGTTATTGTGTTTTATATTTTATGTATTCTGTATATTAAATTCTTCAAATATTTAACCTCACATTTAACGTAATGTATATATTTTTTCGTTTAACCAGCGTTATTTTCTTAGCACGAGTCAAATAGAACTTAAAAATTACATTATCCTTCTGATATACAAAATATTAATTTTATTATTAATTTTAGAAATAAAACGTGTTGAAAAGAGATATTTCTATAAATATCAGAAAATTTTGAATGCATGGCAATTGATAAAATTATATTAAATTACAGGTTGTTACAAAACAAGAACTATAAAGATTCGTAGATATAGTTTACATATTACAGTATTTTTAACATGGATGATGAAGAAGGATCATCAAGTTCTGGACCTATGTCTTCATTGAATAGTTTGTTTTCATTTACTAGTCCTGCTGTAAAAAAGTTGCTCGGTTGGAAACAGGGCGATGAAGAAGAAAAATGGGCAGAAAAAGCAGTTGATTCACTAGTAAAAAAATTAAAGAAACGAAAAGGTGCAATAGAAGAATTAGAACGTGCTTTAAGTTGTCCAGGCACACCTAGTAAATGTGTAACAATTCCAAGAAGTTTAGATGGTAGATTGCAAGTTTCGCATCGTAAAGGTTTGCCACACGTAATTTATTGCAGAGTATGGAGATGGCCAGATTTACAATCACATCATGAATTAAAACCATTAGAATTGTGTCAATATCCGTTCTCTGCTAAACAAAAAGAAGTTTGCATCAATCCTTATCATTATAAAAGAGTGGAGAGTCCAGTACTACCACCTGTATTAGTTCCTAGGCATTCAGAATATGCTCCTGGGCATTCATTGTTACCATTTCAACAAATAGCAGAACCAACAATGCCACACAATGTATCTTACTCGTCTAGTGGATTTAATGCTGGTTCTACTAGTGGTGTAAATCCAACATCACCTATGTCTTCTGTTGGATCTGTTCCAAGTCCAGGAAGCACAACATCACCAAATCCACAAAGTCCATATGGTACTAATGGACTACCAGAAACTCCTCCTCCAGCATACTCTCCACCTGAAGATGGTTCACAACCTGGACAATCACCACCACCTGATCCAGTAGCAATGGATACAAGTGGATCAGCTGAAGTAGCTCCAGTATGTTACCAAGAACCACCTTATTGGGCCTCCATTGCATATTATGAATTAAATTGCAGAGTGGGTGAAGTTTTTCATTGTCATTCTCACTCTGTTATTGTGGATGGCTTTACAAATCCAAGCAACAATTCTGATCGCTTTTGTCTTGGACAATTGTCCAATGTAAATCGTAATTCTACTATTGAAAATACAAGAAGACATATAGGCAAAGGGGTACATTTATATTATGTGGGTGGCGAAGTTTATGCAGAATGTCTCTCTGATTCTGCTATATTTGTGCAATCTAGAAATTGTAATCATCATCATGGATTTCATCCTAGTACCGTTTGTAAAATTCCACCAGGATGTTCATTAAAAATATTCAATAATCAAGAATTTGCCCAATTACTTTCACAAAGTGTTAATCATGGTTTTGAAGCAGTTTATGAATTAACAAAAATGTGTACTATAAGGTAAAATTAAAAATTTAAAAATTAATATTAAGTAATATAAGTGGCAATAATGTAAATCATAATACATATATATATATTTTTTTTGTAGAATGTCATTTGTCAAAGGCTGGGGTGCTGAATATCATAGACAAGATGTTACATCTACTCCCTGTTGGATTGAAGCACACTTACATGGACCCTTACAGTGGTTAGATAAAGTGTTAACACAAATGGGTTCTCCTCATAATGCTATAAGTTCTGTATCGTAATTTGTGCTTCATATTTAATAGCAAGGAGAGAAAATAGTGAAATATAGGTAAACCTGATAATTCAAGGACAATTTTTAATATTACATAGAGCGATAGTAAATTAGTTATCATAAGAGATTTATGAAAGTATCATAAAAGTGGTAAATGAAAAACTGCCCAATGTGAGATTCTCTTCATGTGAGTAAATTGAACTTAACAATATGATTATGAAAATAAAGGGTTGCAAAAGTGACTAAACTATTGAAAGTGATCCTTATTAAAGAAATTTCGGAGATTACAGTGTACACATAAAAGCTGTTTTTGGCTGTTAAATAGGAAAAGAATTATAGCAAAAGTATGTGTTATATATGAAGAATCATATTTTTCAGATATATTCAATTACATCTAATACTTTATTTTATATGAAAAAAATTGTTATGAAAATATTTCCTAAAGCTAATATTACAAATGCTTCATTGAATTGTTTTAAGACTTATATTGAAATTTATCTATACACAAAGAACAGATCAACTATAATTAAACAAAACATCATTATTGAACAATATACGGGAATGATTCAGAATTACAAGTAACATTTTAACTTTTATAATTTTTAATATAATGAGCATCTTTTGAAGCATCTGATTTATGCCTAAACAAGTCTTAAACTATTTAAATTTATTACTCTAAAGACTATCTAATCTAAGTGTAATTAATTTCAATTTTTTTAATGGTAATATAAATAATATTTTAATATAGACATCAGATGCTGATCTCACGTTGACATTTGGAAGTTAACTGTATCTGATGACATATTGGAATATTAACTTTGGTAATTCATATGAAAATATTTTTTGTGCTACGTTCCCTAATATTTGCGAAACGTAAGCCTTTTGATATAGCCTTATAAGAAACTATAACAACTAACATAAAGTCATCTACTTATTGTCAGATTTGAGAGTAATATAAAACTTATGTGTCAACTTGCACTTTTCAGAAGTGTTTACAAATTTCAAGTTTTGACAGAAGTT